CCCCCCAACCCCGCCGCCCTGCTGAGGCAGCGTTCCTGCGCGAGCTTTTTCACCTCGTTTCAGTCATTGATTGCCAACTAGAATTGTCGCCGATTCCTGCCCCCTTACCTCTCAACTTTGTTCCATCGGCGCATACCTTCAAAAAATGATTCGGCCTTTTCTCTTGCTTGCCTTCGCCGTCTCGGCGACGGTTTCCCAGCTCCAAAACCCCGTGTTTCCCGAGGGATGGGCGTCAACTGATCCCACTGAGCCGTCCCCGCTGGGCTCCCGGCTCGGCCACGTCGTTCGTGTCATCGATGACATACGCGAAATCGGAGGGACAGCAGGCATGTCCATCGGCGTCATGTATCAAGGAAAGGTTGTTTTGGAGCGCCACCTCGGGTTTGCGGACGTGGAGAATGCGGCGGTGGCCACGTCAAACACAAGATACCCGTTGGGCTCCTTGACCAAGTCCTTTGTTGCGGCCACTGTCGCCCAGCTTGTCGAGGACGGCCTCCTGGAATGGGAGGCGCCGATTACGACCTACCTCCCTGAGCTCTCGTTCGACTCGGATCCGTCCTTGTCCGACCAATTGACGTTGGTCGACCTGCTGTCGCACCGGACAGGCCTGGTCCGTTTGGATTCGCTGTGGTTAGGAGCCGATGGCCAAGTCAATATTCGCAAGAACGAAACCATCCGCATGTGCAACCACCTGTTCGCAATACGCCCGCATCGGTCCGGGTTTCTTTACAACAACTGGATGTATGCGCTAGCTGGGCAGATCATCGAGCGGGTGACCAACTCCTCATTTGGAGAGGCCCTTGCCGCCCTTGTTCTGGACAAGGCCGGCCTCTCCCAGACGACCCTCATGAGCTCTGACCTGCCGCCAAACTCGACCGCGCTCCCGTATCTCATCCTGGACCACAAGCTTCCGGCACGGATGGCCCAAGACCTGGGCATGATGGATGGGTCGCTGATGTCTTCAGCCGGTGGTATCCGCAGCACTGTCCACGATATGCTCAGCTGGGGCCATGCCCTGCTCGGCCCCTTCCGCAACGACAGTGTCCTGAGCCGTCAGCTTGACGCTCTCCTATCCGGCCACAACATTCTGAACAGCTCTCGCGAATCGGACGAGCTTTACGGTCTGGGACTGGCGAAGGTCATAATGCCGGCCCAGTTCGGCAAACTAGGCTTCAACCCCGGGCTGGTAAATGTTCCAGTTTTAAGCGCTGGTACCAGGACCCCCCTCGTCTTCTACCACAATGGCGCCATCAGTGGCTACAACAACTGTTTTATGCTCATCCCTGAGCTCCAGGCGGTGATAGTCATCCTGACGAACTCGATAGCGCAGGGAGACGTTGCAGATTGGGCTGCGCAGACCTTGCTCCAGGCGGTCCTGAACTCACCATCGCCGATAGACCTTCGGCCTCTAGCCCAGCAGGCCGCTGACAAATGGACCACCTTCTACCAAACCATGTCTGACGAGCTAGAACGTGACCGCATCCCGAACACTGAAGAGCCCAAGCACCCGGAGCTGGTGGGGACTTATCGGCATGAGACGGGAGCGCTGGCCTTGGAGGTTTTCGAGATGGCAGACAGCAACATACTGAAGTTCAACATCAACGGCGAGCAGAGCCAGGTCCACACACTCACCCATTACCACAATGCCAGCTTCATCTTCCTGCCGCCATCGGATGCGGAACTGATCGGCCGGGGTCTTTTCCACTACGGCACCGACACGTGGCTGCTTCACTTCAAGCGGGATTCCGGAGGGCGGATGGACCGCATCATCTGGAACCTCGACGGAGAAGCCCCAGCCGGAGAAACATTTGTCAAATTGGAGGATTAAAGCTGCTGCACTGTATTTGTTGGTACAGGACAGTGATGGCGTGTTTCGGATGCGCCCTTAAAAACAGCTACAATATGTAATAATACTGGACTACCCCTTTTCGCTATAATAGAACGTAAGCCAAAACATAAAAAGCACGTACGGGCCGGCCCGTGCATGCAACGGATGTTATTCTTAACGTTAACCTTAAACCTGGGCTGGTAATGCTCGCGGTTGCTTTATCAAATTCTCCAAAAGCGACGGCAAATTTTGGCAGAGCTGGAAGAGAAACCCGTAGCATTACCAGCCCGAATATCCAGAAGGGCACCAGGATTGCGAAAACGGTAAAGCCGTACAACGCTTGCTGGAAAGCGGCGTTTTTCTTTAACTGGTTCGTAGCGAAACCGAGCTGCATGGCGGTTAGCACCAGGACGATGAAAACGGCGGCGGTGGCCAGCCAGGCGATGTTGTCGCCGAAAAGGCCGCTGTAGGGTAGGTGTTCCTTTCCCGGAGGTACGGCGTAAGAAGCGGGAAGCGGGTAAGGCGGTGGACGGTGTTAACGCGGGATAAGCGGAGCTCGGCGCGCAAAAAAGCGCGGGTGGACTTTGATCGAGCCATTGTTTTTGTGCTTAAGCAGCCTTTTGGCCCATTGCTTCCACGCCGCCCACGTAATGGCCGAACCGTTTGTTTTGCGAAGAAGGAGGCGCGCTTTGCTAGCGGACGACACAAAGGGCAAGCAGAATGCCAGACCAAGCCTGGCACCAAGGACGCCTCACCGGACGCGGAGGGATCAGCCCCGTCAACTGCCACCCCGACCAGCACAGCGGGGAGCGAGCTCGACTCGTCGGCCGCCTCCACGTCTGGTGGTGTCGCTCCAACAACCTCTGAATCCGCCGGCGCGGCAGGTTCAGCCGGCACGGATCCAGCCGCCCAGCCGGGTGCTGCACCTGCGACTGCCCCTGGGCCAGTCGGGGAGGACGAGGAAGACCCCCTGACCGCAACCTGGCGCGTCGTCTCCACCAAGATCAGCCGGGGCCTTCGCATGGTCGTCGAAAAGGACGAGAACCTCATGTTCAAGCTCTTCCTCAGCAAGAAGCCCGGCGAGAGGCCCAAGCCGGGCCGCGTCGCGCGCTTCACCCTGGAGCCGGACTCCAGCTTCTCCCTCACACTGGAGGGCCAGACCCCCGGGCCGGGCACCTACGTTATGCAGGTGAGGGAGACGTGGGAGTCTCCCAACATCTACGAGACCATGCCCGCCACCAAGTGGGCGATATGTTTTACAGCGTGGCTCTTGCCGAGGGCAAAAGCCCCGAGTTCAAGTCTGTGAGTTTGGAGGTTGCGCGGAAGCTGCAGGGTGTGGGCAAGTAAGATGTGAGAGGCATTCAGGAGACGATCAGATGATCTAGTTTAGCCCAAAAATATCAGCTTTCCAAAAGGAAGAAAAGCATGGAAAAAAAAGAGCAAAACATACAACACCGAGGATTCCCCAGTGGTCACCCACCTGAGTACTAGTTCGGCCCTCACTGGTTTGACTAGGGGAGA